CGAATTTCCGTTCTCGTCGCCGGCGTTCTGCGCATGCGCCGCTTACAGCGCCGGAAAGCCGATTCATTAGCCGCCATGACGCGCTCCACCGCGCGGTTCGAACGCCGGTACTCGCGTGCACGCGGATGATTGAGGACGATCAAGCCAGCGACCGGTCGCGGGAACATCCCCCGGAGGAACAGCGCTCGGACGCACCCGGACGCGCGTTCTCGAGACGCGACTCACGGCGACTGACGGCGCGCCGACGGTGATGACGTAGAGGACAGGCGAGCGAAATCGCGGACATGGCGGCCACGTCCGGGACGTGTAGTACATGTTGCTTTCGGCGAGGAAACTTTGAACGGTAAGTTCACGAGAGCACGAGAACACGAGAACACGCGACCGCTTGGCCAATGGCCGACGATCCTCCCGGCGCGGCGTTTTCGCGCTTCGACCGCGGGAACGGACGCGATCGGGAGGTGGGATCGCGCGCGACGACCAAGCTTCGACGAAATGCCCACGGGGTGGCCATTTAGTCACGGAGCGGCCATGCGCGTCCCGTACGGTCGTTCTCGCGCGCGCGCGCAGCACTGAGCGGCCGGAAAAAGCCCTTCCTAACCTACAAAGGTCGAGCGCCGATGTACTCGACGCTCTCGACCCCAACGCTCGCTCGAACGCGGCGAAACGTCCGCACGCCGGCCGATCGCGACTCGCAGAATACTTGTTGAACGCTCGGCGTGGCCGCGGGGAGTTATCCCGAGGGACTCACCTTGCAAGTTGCACGACGACGACTCTCGACGGCGCGATTAAAGGGATGATGATCAGCTGTTTCCCGGTTGAAATGCCCGGAGATGGACAGCGAAAGAGGAAGGGACGAAGAAAGAGATAGATAGATAGAGAGAGAGAGAGAGAGAGAGAGGGAGAGAGAGAGAAAGAGTGAGAGTGAGAGTGAGAGTGAGAAAGGGAGCGAGTGAGGTAGCGTGCGAGGAGCGTGCGAGAGAGAAAGTGAAGCAGAAGGAGAGAGACGAGGATAGAACGGGAGAAACGCCGCCGTGCGTTCCTGCGGCGCTTCTCGAAATACAGAAGAAAGAGAAAAGCAATGCCGGACGTGCGCGCTCGGCGCGCACTCGAGTCGAGACCGCGCGTTGTCTTCTGCGGCGCGCCGGTGTTTCTCTACCGTCGATATGTCCGCCGAGCCGAAATCGTCGTCGCGAAGTGCGAGATGATGACAAACGGCCGCGGACGGAAATCCGCGACAACGGCGGTGGAAAATGCATTTTTTACGGATAGGATTTCGCCGCTGTTTGAACGCACGCGCGACGTGAAGTTGACGTTCGTCAACTTCACGTCGGGACAGTAAAATAACGTAGCGGGATTTACTTCTCGGTGTGAGAAAGAAGGATAGTGTGGACAGAAAGCGGATGAGACATCAGGTTGGAAATCATCCTGAACACGTCCGGAATGTGCTGGCGAGTGCCCAAAGAGTGTCCAAAGAATGCACTCGGGGTAATCTCAGAACATTTTGTTATCTGAGAAGCGGTTGCACACTCAGACACGGCTTCTGAAAGATGTTTTAATGACGTCTAGGAAATGCCCGAAGAGGACACGAGACGTCTCTTGGGCGTCTTTGAGACGCTGCGTGTAGAAGTTTAGGCTGCGTAGTCTTTTTCCTACCTGCGAGTTATCGAGTCGGTAGTTATCTCTTTTCGCGATACCGCCGAGTTTTATTTTAGCGGCAGGAATCCAGTAACGGCTCTGTAATAATGTCCGTTGCACGGTAATTATACACGTATAATAAGCGCGGGTTTATATAATGAGCAGCGCGTTTTTCACGCGCTCGCTCGCGGCGGTTTCGACAAAAAGCGGCGGCCGCGCGTCGACAGTCGGCTGTCGGATATCTTTTCGCAAGAGCGCTGCTCCGAGACACGCGATTAAATTTTTTCTTTCATTCCGGCGGCGCGCCACACGCACCGCCACGTAACGAACCGCGGCACAGTCGCGTAACCGTGAAATTATGCATTTTTATCGCACACGCGGTACGTGCGTATGCAGGCGCGCTCGTTCTCTCTCTCTCTCTCTCTCTCTCTCTCACTATGTGTGTGTGTGTATGTGTGTCTAATGAAGTGCAATGAAATGCAGTTGCGCGAACTCGTTATGTCACTGGGTGTCCACACCGTGGCGATAATTCGTGCCGTATCGCACGAAGGATATTAGCGCTATCTTCATGTATGCTATTTTGAAGTACAATAATGGGTAGAGAAAGTTGAATTACATCGCGCAGATACCGCAGCGTCGAATCAAAACGATCAGATGTATGTGAGAGTATCTTTGAAAATTTTCCAGATAATTGGGACTTGTAACGTCCTGTTCACTTTCCGACCTCCTGTTCATGCTATAGTGCTCGATGTTGATAACTGTACATGATATTGATGCAAAATATCGCTGTAGATGTGTTGATGCCTAAGAAGCGAGAACGTAGTTCCCCAGTGAGAGCGAGCCGATACTGCGGACTGTTACGATCGTCGCAGCTATGTGTTGCAGCGTAACAATCGTTGATGGAGGAGAATCGTGAAATGACTTTGACATGGACTGTTGGTATGATTTATTTTGTCTTCAAATCGAGAGCACGTCGCCGCTTGTACGTACAGGATGGAGGACAGCTCGAGAATTGCCTTGGAATTTGATGTGTATCAGACGAGAGCCGGAAACTGAGGAACTTGGAGGTTTTCGTAGAGCGCGGGGAAATAACGATGATACGATGTGTAAAGTAAGAGCTTGTACGGCATAAATGGCAGTTGGCTTCAAATATCGTCCTAGTTTTTTTGTGAGCCGATAGATGAAATCTTTGTCGCGAATGCTTTTTGTGTCACAAAAGATTCAGTTGGCGTCGAACTCTAACCTGAGAAACACGTTAACCGCCATGAGTTCACGCATACGCATCGCGCTACGAGGCTGTGTTCCTTTGTTCCCGCCCCAAAGGACCAAAAATGTCATATGCAGTGGCTGCTAAATACATGGGAAAGTCAAAATCGTTCGTCGCTAAGTGGGTTCAGCGATATAAGAAGATCAAAAATGTCGATGACTTGCCAGAACGTGGCGCTCGGATAGGCAAAGTGACGCCGAATATGGAAAAAGAAATTGTGAATTTGTTTAAGCGGAACCCGACCCTAATGCTTAAAATTTATGAGAAGTGTTTGTTGCCGATTGCTGAACGATGCTTCATAAAAAAGAAACGAGGACTGGATCTTACAGGAAGACAACGACCCAAAACACCGGAGCAAGCTTTGCACCGAGTGAAAAGAGCAGTCTGGCATCGTCACACTTGATTGGCCATCGCAGTCGCCAGATCTGCAAATCCCATTGGAAATGTGTGGACATATCTGAAGCACAAGCTTCGAGGAAAAAGAGTGTGGCACTTTGAAGCAGCTGACACGACAAATTCGTCTCATTTGGAGGTCTTTACCGAACGAATACGCAGTCAACTTAGTGGAAAGTATGCCTCGGAGATGCCAGGCAATTATCAATGCCGGTGATGACTGGGCTCATTATTAATGGTATAGCATTTTTCTTCTCATGGAGTACAACAGATCCATGTACTTAAAAATCATTAAAAATAAATTTGTCTACACGTCAACCCGTGCACGCTCTTACTTTACAGACTGTAAGTTTGGAAGAGAAAAGATTAAATTCTTGCGAGGGTAGTCATGACCGATGACGAGAGATTCGATGGAAATTCGAGGATATAATAGCTATTAGTTTGTTATTTTAAGATGAGGTTGGTCATTGGGATTAGGTATGGATAAGATAGGTATGGAGGAACATGTGTCATCGTCGCCATTGTGACGGTCTCTACATAAGATAATACAAGTTAAAATGAACAACATAAAAAAGATACGTGAGGAACCGATGCAGCGACTGTTCCGTTCGAAGATAATTACGATAACGCGCAGACTCACCTTCCTCGTCAATCTCGTTCCTTTCTCCTTCCGTGCGGCGCTCTCGGATTTCATCCACGGTTCTACTGGTGTTTTGTGTCGCGTCATGTTTTCGCACCGCTTCATTTCCTCCCCGATACTTTTTGTCTCGTCATCGTTGCCCGCGCGCCTCTGTCTGTTCCTTGTCGATAACTTAATTTTTGTCAGATTTAGACGGAACGAGCGTAGCTCATACTTTTCCTGCCGTCTACCGTCTACCGTCTGTCCTACTTTTCGCTAAATTAAACAAGTTTCGATCGATTTTCTGCCTGCTTCGGTGGCAACAAATCGGCGGCCCCCTTCTACGATGAAAATGCACTAAGACGGCTACAACGATTGGCGAACGATTGCAAACAACGTTTACTTGGTCAATGAATAATTCATTTCCATTGAAAGCAACAAAGCTGAGTCTAACTAGAAGTCGAAGTCGAACTTGATCTCTGACTCCACATTTGCTAAAATATAAATTCTGCGCTTGCAATATCTATATTTTCCCGCGTCACACGTCTCTTCTACTTTCTATCAAGAACACTCGTTCTTTCGTTTCAACGAAACTCAGCACGTTCGAGGAAAGAGAGATAGATAAAGAGTTGCACATTTCACCCATCATTTGTCCCGTCGCTAAACAATGAAAAAGTAATATCGCGTGAGGGAAACTGCAGTTAAGGGGCTGTTATTAGCAACTCCGTTTCTCATCTTAAATTACTTCATTCATCGGCGCGGTGCATTTTTATTTCTTCATCACATCTCTCCCCCCTTTCTCTCAGTCTCTCTCTCTCTTTCATTTCCTCTTCCTGCTCTTCCGTCCGTTTTGCCCTTTATCCATCGCTTTGTCTCGACCAGCGTATTTTTCCAATCCCCCTGCCCCGCACTCCCCCTCCATTCTCCTTCGTTTTCCCTTCCCCAACTTTCGCTCTTTCTTCCCTATCCACGTGACACTCTCCGTGAGCCAAGCCAGACACGTTCGAACCGCCGCCGCCGCGCCCCGCCGGCAGGTCTGTTTCCGTCGCGCTCACGTCGCCCTTCCTTCTCTAGTCACTGCCCTTACCCCCACTCGCGGCGGCGGCGACGTCTACCAGCGCGGCAAACGATAGCGCCGTCCAGCGGAGCGGGCACGCAACGGCGCCGCGCCGCGCGGCCTGCGCGCACAGTAGCGTCCCGTAATTTCGAGCCGGCGAATGGGCGATGCGCACGCGAGTCGCGACGCGCGAACGTGCCGTTTGTCGTTCGCATCGAGTGTCGTCGTCTAATTCGAGCGCGTCTGATCCCGCGGGAGACTGTCGCCGCCGCCCCTGCGCGTCCGTCGCCGCCGTCCGTCAGAAAAGAAAGTAAAAACGGAGCTGTGGCGGACTCGTTCACGACGATGGAGAGGTTTCGAGTGACGCCGACGAGCAACGTCGCGCGCTACACGCAGCAACCGTCGTCACCGGCGCACGATTACGGTGAGTAGTGTTTGGTTTGCTCGCATTGCGCGTGTGCGTGTACGTTCGCAGGAACAGCGAGCCAGCCGGCGAGCGCACGTTGCGTGCCACGCTG